ACTCCTTTTTGAAGGAGATTTCCCTATACTCTACACCAAATCAAGACCTCAAAATTCCTCCAGTAGTGCCACATTCCTCTCCTTCCCAGTATTTATCAGTTTTAGTTTTTCATCTTTGTAGATGATCATTGAAGTCTTTCTTTCTTTCTAGCCCATAGTCTCAATGAGGATGGGATCTGTTTCCCATCTGTTCATCCTTGTATCCCCACTCTCCAGCATGCCTCCTGGAACATAATAGAAGTGTTTTTTACCAAAAAACATTTGTAAAAGACATGAACACATGCATTTCGCTTTCTAGACTCCCTCTCCTAGAATGCCTTTTACCCGATTCAGACACAGCCTGTCCTGAAGCTTTACAGTGATTATCCCTTGCTCTTACAATTCTTACATTGACATCCAAGCCTATTTAGCTTTTTATTTCCTTTACACATTTTGATGGTTCTCCCTCAGGAGGTCCTGCTGCAACCTCTGGAGATGGGGCTTGGGGGAGGTGAGTGTAATCGAAAAATGCTTGTCTCGGGGATTCTGATCCACCACCTGCCTTGCAGAGACAGGCCAGGAGGAACCTCCTCTAAATCTCAGAATAATTACCTGGGCTCTGGGAAGACATTCTTCCCAAGTGTTCTTCCCAGGAGTCCTATGCTTTATCCTCTCAATCCTCTTCTCCCTGCCCAGCCTCTGCAGGCTTTTATAGACAGCATAGTCACAGAGAGAACAGCTGCCCTTTTTTGCATATTGATTCATCTGAGAGAGTAGATCTTTAGAATGCGAGAAATGGCCACACCGCTGTTAGCTTTCTGTAAAGCTGCATAACACTGTTCTGGTGTGTGTTTATTACTTACCCCTTGAGGTAAACGCAAGGCTGAGTGGTAATTGCCTGCGTCTCCAGGAGAGTCCATTTCCCTGCGGTGTACTTGCAGGCCCTGAGGAGCCCCGAGGTGAAATCTTTACACAGCTGCCTTGGCAACTGAGCTCACCAATGTTTGCTGTGCATCCAAGGACAGGCAGGTATCCACGACAGTGGGTATTTCTAACAAATTTCCCTCTCAAATTGGCACATTCTCTGCAAGCTTTCTAGACTTCACAGTGTGGCTCACAGTTTGGGAACAATTTCCATCACCATCCGACTAGCAAGTACTGGTTCTGTGGTAACTTGTGTCTTTAAAATAGCTTAATACACAATAGGGTACAGAGGTCTGCTCCTGAAGTAATGACTTAAGTACACCTTTCCACAAGGCTCCCCATAGAGAGGATCATCTTTAAATACATTCAAAAGAGTATCATGTCATCACTTCCTCTGCTTTTTGCATACACACAGGTTATCCATATGGGCAGGTTGGTTACTTGACATTTTCCTATCCTAGGTTAATTTAGCTATTCAAATCCATGTTTCACATCGACTTCTACAATGGGCAGATATTTCTTCCTATTCTTAGAAAGTTCTGTCAAATCATCCACATTCTATCAGGCAGGGTGGCCTGATATATATGTGTGTATATATATATATATATATATTTTTTTTTTTTTTTTACATCATTCTTCCTTTTTGTACTATGTTTGCTTTCTCTTCTCAGGCGTATTCCTCATAAAATTCCCACCACCAAGTCACCCGTGCACCACCACCATAGTCCCTTGTGCTCTTCCGTCCCCTGTTTTGATCCCTCTGCCTCCCTCCCCCCACGCAGAATATCTCTGATCTATACTTGCCTATTAATTTTGTTTTTTAATTTATTATATTTTTTTTCCTGATCCCTTATTTGATTTCTCTACTTTTTTTTTTTTTTTTTTGTGGGACCCTCGCCGGCGGCCGGGGATCGAACTGGCGGCAGAAGCTGCGGACAGCCTTGCAACCCAGCGCTCAACCGCTGCGCCACCAGGGGAGACCCATGATTTCTCTACTTTTAAAATGACTAATCTTCCTGGCTTGCCCAGGACTAGGGATAGGAGTGGGGGTCCTCCGGAATGTGGGATTTTTTTTTTAAATAATAAATTTTATTTTTATATTCCCCATACATTTGCAACCCCCCCCCCCATTCTGACCCCAATCCCTCCCCTCCCGCCCCCCACTCCTCAAAAACTGTCTCTGGTTCTTAGTTGTTTGTTGATTTTGATTTTACCTTTCTTATAGTTATTCATTTTCCTGGTCCCTTATTTAAGTTCTTTAGATTCCTGCTATGAGTGAGACCATCCGGTATTTTTCTTTTTCTTTTTTTTTTTTAAATTAATAAATTTTATTTTTATATTCCCCATACAATTTTTCTTTTTCTTTCTGGCTTACTTCAAGTCGCTGAGCATGATCCCTTCCAGCGCCATCCATGTTGCAGCAAATGGCATGTGTTTATCTTTTTTGAATGCTGAGTAATATTCCATGGTGTATATGGACCACATCTTCTTGATCCAGTCATCTATTTTTGGGCATTTGGGCTGTTTCCAAAGCTTAGCTATTGTAAATAGAGCTGCTATAAACATAGGGAATGTGGGATTTTTAATGTTTAAACCAGAAAAGTCCAAGACCAGTCAAAACTAGTTGTCGCCTATAACCATTCTACTCTTGATAAAAGGACATGCAGACCCAATTAAAGGTAACTCATTCCCTGAATATTCTAGTTCATCGGTTGGTAGGAGTTCCACAAACCAATACCTTCCCAAATTGCTCTTTCTCTCTCTTTAATGTAACAGCTTTATTGAGATAAAATCCACATAACATACACTTCACCCATTTAAAGTGTCCGATTCAATAGTTCTTAGTATCGTCACACAATTGTGAGAGTCTCACCACAATTTTCCAACATTTTTATAATTCCCAAATAAAACTCTATTCCATCAACAGTCATTCTATTTCCCCCGGTCCTCTCAACCCCTGGCAACCACTGGCCTGCCTTCAGTTTCTATAACTTTGTCTTTTCTAGATATTCATTATAAATGGAATATACAATACGTGGCCTTTTGTTTCTTGTTTCTTTCATTGTCATATTTTTAAAAAATATTTATTTTTATTTATTTATACAAGCACTGGGTACAGTCAGAAGCGTGGGAGGGTGAGAGAATTCACCAGAGCCAGAGCGGGGAGCAGAGCAGGCAGACCGAAGTACACTGCTGAGGGGAGCAGCGGGTGGCAGGAGAGGTCTGTGCGCCATGTGGGACCCTCCTCCGGTGGCGGGGGAGCAGCCGGGGATCGAACCGGTGCTGCAGAGGCTTTGGGTAGCTTTGCAACCCAGCGCTCAACTGCTGCGCCACGGGGGAGGCCCTTTCATATGGTTTTTAAGGTTCTTTCATATTGTAGCACATATCCATTGTCACTCCTTTTTATTGCTGTATAATATTCCATTGTATGGATATACAATATTTTATTGGTTCATAAGTTGATGGGTATCACTTGGCTATTATAAATCACACTGCTATAAATACTGATGCACAAGTTTTTATGTGACTGTATGTTTTCATTTCCCCTGGGTATATACCTATGAACAAAAGTCCTGGATTACATGGTAACTCTATGTTTAATCATTTGAGGAACTTCCAGGCTGTTTTCCAAAGCAGTTGGACCATTTTATGTCTACATCAGCAAGTTCTAGTTTCTCCACATCCTTGTCAATACTTAACATCTCCATATCCTTGTCAATACTTAGTATCTGTATGTTTGATTATAATCATCCCAGGATGTGAAGTGGTGTTTCATGGTATGATACGTATTTCTGTGATGGCAAACAATGTAAAGCATCTTTTCATGTACTTATTGCCAGGCTTCTTAAATGGAAAAGGGTAACAGACATAAAGGATGTTTGTAAAAGGCAGATTATATGCAGTAGACTTAAGGTTTTAACTAAATATTAAATTAGATGTCCACAGCCAATTACTGTTATTTCAAAGTATTCCACCTGGAGGTAAATCACTGACTTTCCTTCATGATCAGAAGTGGGTCCAGTGTAAGTCCCTTTTACCTGCTCTGTGAAGAGCCATCCTCTGCTCTCTCCATCAAAACTTGTTGCCAAATGGCCATCTTCTCCTGAAGTCCATGGACTGTGTGTTCCCTGAAACGGGAGCCTGGATTTGCATCCTTCTGCTTTGTTCATGAACTTCCTGCAAGGGCTGGTTAGCCAGTTATCACCCCACTACTTGGGCTCTGTGGCCTTCTGGTGACTTCACAGACTTGCTGCTTCTTTTTCTCTTTCCAACTTTTTCTTGCTTCTTTTTCTTTGTTTCTTTCTCCGGTATCTCTGGGGCACACTCTGCGCTTATTTAATTTTGTTCACTTGTCGGCTTGTTCCTTCATTTCCCCACTAACAAATTCCAAAAAGATCCTCCTTTCTATCACCTGCTCTTGCCTTCTTTTCTCCTTTCATTTCTCAGAAGAGACCCCTGTTGATTTGATCGAAAAGAATTGGATTCCTATCAAAGCTACCAAGAAAATGATCTCCATTAGAAAACATAGTCTCATTCTACACTAATTTTTGGAGCCTGGATTCTGGTAGTTCTCTCTGGAGGGGTCCTGGTCACTGAGACATTGGTCAACTATGTCTATAAGTGGAAATGGATGCTATTACTACCTGTCATTGATCAGCAGCTACTGCAAAAATACCATTTCATTATTGTAAACTCATCATTCCTAATACAGACAGGTCAAATAGCTACTACCTTGCCATTTGGCAGAGAGGACAAAGGTAGTAGTAGCAGTAATAATAATAAATAAATAATAATTGATTTGGAGACTATTCTAAGCGGTGGAGGAAGTGTGGCTGGGGTGGGGTACAGTCCCTGGTAGAAACAGGCAGGTAGGTATTTTTATTATCATTTCCTTGTTATAAGTTTCCATTCACTTTATAAAGATTCTTAACCTAGCGCAGGGGAATGCGGTCAATTATCCAAAAGGGCCCTCATCTTTCCCTTGCTTTCACCACACAAATGACCCTGAGGATATAGCATTTGGGACAACACTGACCAAAGGTATCTGGGGTCCCCAGCGGGGTAGCAAACAACATCTGTTGGTCTATATGTTTCAGAGTGAAGGGCCCGGAGAAAGAGGAGAAACTGAGGCGGATGGTCAAGCAGGTTCTCAAGTGTGATGTAACCCAGACCCGGCCTCTGGGTGCGGCCCGCCTGGCGCTGGCTGACTGCCTGCTCAGCACACTGTGCCTAGACGCCGCCTGCCCCGACCTCCCCACCTACCACAAAGCCCTCAGGAACCTGAGTAGCCTCCTGAAACCAGGGGGCTCCCTGGTGCTTGTGGATGCCCTAAAGAGCAGCTACTACATGATTGGGGAGCAGAAGTTCTCCAGTCTCTCTCTGGACCAAGAGGTCATCAAGGAGGCCGTGACCAAGGCTGGCTTCACCATCGAACAATTTGAAGTGATCACTCAAAATTATTCTTCTGCCAACAATGAGGGACTTTTCTGCCTGGTGGGGCGGAAGCTGAGCTGATCTGTGGGGCACCTCAGGGGTACAATTAAAACCCTTCCTCTGACTTGCCTGGTTGCTGTAGTTCTTGGTTCTAACCACCACCAAGGTCATGGTGGCAAGCAGAGGCTAGTGCCTGGCCCCAGGTCCATCTAGAGCACGGTTCATCAGGGCAGTCAGCCCAGGCCCAGGCCCTGACCACCTCATCTGTGCTCCACACCACATCCTGGTGTGGTGAGGACAAGACAGGAGGAAGTGGCACCTCCTCACCACCATGATTACAAAGGACCCCTTTTTCCTTTACCATCCCAGTTCTGCCAGGTCAAGCCCACACACACTGACAGACTGTCTGTTCACTATCCATTTCCCAGGAACAGGCTCCCCCATGCCTTCAATTCTTGCTTTCTCCCCGCTGAGGCTACCACACTGCAGAGGGCCACCCTGGCTCATCTGGGGCCCACAAATACCTCCCTCAACATCCCCCTCAGATGACAGCTGTCCCAAGAATGGGGCAGAGCCTTCTCTTACTATCCTTAGGAACCTAAGCCAATGCTGTGATGTTTAAGAGACAGCAGGCACTGCTCTGCATCACTGTCAGGAACAGGCATCTTCAACGACCTGCACCATTAAGGCTCCTGGAAGGAAGCTGTGGCCCAGCTCTTGCCAAGCGCCTACTTGGAGTTGACCTACCTCTGCCCACCTTAGGTCTACATTCTCTAGTTTCTAGTTCCCTTCACCAAGATGCTTGAAGACAGAGTTTGACAAGCTGTGGCCCCTGAGTCCATCCAACCTGCTGTGTGTTGTGTATGGTTTCATTGGGACACAGCCATGGCCGCCCACCGGTGCAGGGTCTCTGGCTGTTTTCATGCTCCCGCTGCAGATCTGCGTGATTGTGACAGTGACTATGTGTAAGGTCTGCAAACCCTTAAATATCTGTTTTCTGGATCTTTACAGAAAAAGTGTGCCAACCCCTACCCTAGCGAGGTGCTTCCCTCCGTGCCCTGGTCTGAGACCTCACTTTGCATCCCAAGCTTCCCCTCTTTCTTGGACTACACCCAGTGGACATTTCTGGTCCCCACCATGGACAGTTCCTTCCTCCCCTGGGCCCTGCACATACAATGACAGTCACATAAGAGCTCAAGCATTTGACAGCAGCCCATTGTTGTTTACTTTGTTGTTTGGGACAAACTTGTCATAACAGAGTATCAGTCAGTTCTTGGGACATTTCCAATGGTTCAGTCTCATTAGGCATTTATCAATATATCACAATATAATATTCTAACCTGATTATAGTTTCTAGAAAGTCCATCCTTAAGGACACTGACAGGCTGGTCTGGACTGGATGGAAAAACCCAAGTTGAGCTCTGTTCCCTCAAGTGGATGGGATGACGGTGTCTGCAGCCCCTTTCTACAAGGTCTGCCCTGGGGGGATTTCCCAGAAAACCACAGTCCTTGGCATGGCCAGCACCAGCATCACCCAGGCAGCTAAGAGGGACCAGGTCTTGGAGGCGGGGCGCTCTCTAGCACTGTGTGTCTACCTGACAACCCAGAACACAAGTCCCAGCTTCTGGAATATTTATGTTTGCTTATCTCCCCAAACAGTGTCCTTGCTTACATTTGCAAACATAACTGTAAACAAAGAAAACACAAGTCTTCCTTGAAACCAGGATTTCCTGGCCAAAATCTTGTTTTTTTTTAAAAAAAACAAGCACTCTCTAAACAAAGCCAAAAAACAAAAACAAACCCCCCCCAAAAAACTAAAAAGCAACCAAATATGAAATGACAACTTTCCATTTTCACCTTTCAAAGTTTGTGGTGGGGGAGCAGGGTGGCGGGGGTGAGGATCTGAGGCCCAGTTGGGGACAACAGACTAAGCCAACTCAGTCTTCTGGGATTTCACCTCTAAGATGACATTCGTTACATCACATTATAACTTTATTTTTCTGTTTCCCACTGAGCTGGCAGCCTCTGGGTTTATGTTTGGAGTCTCCTGATGATTATCCAGCCATGGGGTAGGCCCTGGAGGCAGAGGCAGTAAATGGCAGAGGTTAGGGCCTGTGCTGAAGAGGGGGCAAGGGATAGGCAGGTAAGGAAATTACTCAGTAAGTGAGATACTTCCTGAGATACTAAGGACATACTGCAAGACTAAGAACAGGATACAGAATGGAGACTCTGGCTGACACAATTGGGCTTACTACTCTTAATGGTAGGCAGTTCGGAGGTGGGCACCTTGGGAAGGAATGGTGGGCACAGAGCATCACCTGTCTTCCAGGTGACCTGTCGTCCAGGTGACCTCTGTCCTTTTCACCTGCTTGTGCCAGGAAGTGAGTCTTCAGGGGAGGGATTCTTTTCAGAAGCCCCCAGCTGGCTTCTTACATGTTATTGACCAAAACCGAGTAACGTGCTGACCTTGTCCCCACCCACAAACAACATGGAGAGGACGCACGGTCCCCTCCTTAAGATCTGTGAGAAGAATAGGGAATTCTTAGATGACAAAGCAAAGGAAAGCTCAGAGGACCCAGTGAGGGAGGCAGCATCTTAGCCACCCCAGCAACTGTTTCATTCTTTTGCAGCTACAAAGATGGTCCCATGTAAAAATTCTGACTCAGCCACTCGCCCGCTGTTTCTCCTTGGGCAAATTACATGACCTCTCTCGTGCCTCAGTTTCCTCATCTGTAAAATAATATTAAAATTGAGCTTGAAGGAATTATGCTCAGTGAGATAAGTCAGAAGGAAAAAAACATAACGGATGGTTTCACTTATAGGCGGAATATAGGGGAACTAAATAAGACACATCAGGGAAAAAATAATAACAATACAAAACACAACACAACAAAACAAAAGCAAACAGACCATTATAAACCAGAGACATCCTGCAGGGGAGGGAGAGGGAGGGACACAGGGGACTGAGGTGATGGTGCACGGGTGCATTGGTGGAGGAAATTCTGTGGGGACTACACCTGGGGAGGGGGAAGCAAACATTGTTTAAAATGAACAATGATGTAAAATATATACAAATGAAATAAAATAAATAAAACCGAACTTGTCAAGAGAATAAAAGAGGATACACAAAGGACCTAGACGAGCTCTTGGCATTTAATGAGCATGTCCTTCTTATTTATTGTTGCCTGTAATTGCTGTGCTCACGATCTTTGATGTTCTTTTCCCAAAACAACTGAAAAATCTGACTGGAGCCAAGAGGTGCCAGGACTTCGGCTCTGAGCTGCAGGCAACAGGGGTCTTTACTGGCACTACCTTCTAGGGCAGCTGTGCTAAGACTCATTCCTACATCACATGCCACCCCTTCCTTTCTCTTCTGCGCAAAAAGCCCAGAAGTAAATGCAGATGTCTATCAATACTTCATTATGATACAGGAGCCACAATCATACAATAAGAGAGTGTCTTTAACAAGTGGAGATGGGATGAGCGGACAGCCCTGTGTAAAAGAATGGAGTTGGATCATTCTCTGGAAGAAGGGGTTGGCTGACTTCATCTGCCCCCACCCCTCGAGCTGGTCTGTATCTGCTGCAGCTCCCGCGGGGAAGAGGAGGATCCAGTTCTGACTAGGGAGTCAGCAGAGGCAGGAATGGGAGTCATGGGGCCTAGAAGAAGCAATGTAAGTTGCCTTTCATTAGTGTATCATAAGGTCAGTTTAGTACGTGACAATATAATACACATTTTGGAAAATAACAGAGAATAAACTAGAAAGCAAAATTCTAGCCAGTTGCACTTCATACAGGATTATGTTGCCCATTTATCAAAGAGAGAGAGAGAGAGAGAGAGAGAGAGAGACAGAGAGAAAAGCACCATTTTAATGCAAGTCTGAGTTAGGCTGCTTTGCGCTCAGCGCCCCCAAGAGCACCTGCATTGAAACAAACACAAAGCGAGGCTGTAGTTTTACGACAAAGGTGAAAAGCAAAAGGCCTCAGTGTGGACTTTGCGGCACCTGGAGCGAGTGGCCCAGCTCCTTCCACTAAGTATCTCTCACGCCTGCTTCTGCTACGGTTAGTGTGATTTTCGTTTTAAGTCTGAGTTGGTAGGCTATTCTGGGGTGGGGGGTCTGGGATGCTCAAAAAAGTTTCCATCTAAGAAAATGGTATTTGCTACTTTGCTTTATGCCATTTCCACGCGGGAAGGGTTGCAGAGGAACCCCAAACTTTCAGAGAGCGGAGGTCTCGCATAAAGAGAAATATGTTACGGGCTGTATAAGCGTTCCTCCAGATCATGGCATGAAATGTCTTTATTACTGTAGACCGTAATCTCAAAAGCTTGGGAGCTCTGGACTGTGGTTGGCTCCCAGGACTCACCACTGACAGCCACAGGTGTCTTTGGTAGAGAGATGAAAGGCAAGGCCTTCTTCCTGAGGAGCTGGCGTCTGGGGGTTGACCCTCCAGCACTGACCATCTGAGCAACCAGGGCTCTGAGGTCGCAAGTCCTGCTGCTGTGGAGGGGGGGGGGGGGTGGTCAGGGCAGAGCATGTGCCCTGGGCCTTGCAGTTGAATCGCGGCATGTTTAGCTGATGGGGAAGAAAAGGACAATGTGAGGAACGTTGGGTACACAGGCCCAACGTGACCTCTGCAATCAGTTTCTGGTAGGTTTGTTGTTCCAGGAAAGCCGGGACCTAAGTAAACATTTGGCTGCTGCACTTTCGTTTGCTTTCCCTGAAATCAAACAGCCCGACCAAATCACCGGCAAACACTGACAAGGGGTCACGGTGGTGCTGACTAATAAATCTCTTTGACCGCTGACCCAGCGCAGGTGTTTTTTAGTCCACTTTCGGGAAAAGTGTTCAGCAGCCTCAACCCAAGCAAACGTTTATGACGTTATGAGGGAGGATGCAAGTGCGCGCGTCATGTCCCTGGCAAAGACCACCGACGGAATGTTAGATGTTGGGCCGTTTGCCTGACCAGCCCAGCCTCGAAATTCCCATCATCTGGATGTCAGGAGTAATAAGGGGAGATGTCCACACTCTGACTTACTAGGCTGATCTTGCAAAGCTGTGATCGCCCCTCTAATTTTAGCCTCAGCCCTCGCCAAGCTCAGGAGGTGAGCAT